TTGGTAATCGATTACATCGTATTAAAAGCATCAGATATGTGCATCTGACATAGTGTAATCGATTACACACTCCTGGTAATCGATTACACACTCCTGGTAATCGATTACACACTCCTGGTAATCGATTACACACTCCTGGTAATCGATTACACACTCCTGGTAATCGATTACACCGTATTAAAAGCATCAGATATGCGCATTTTTCACGTTGTAATCGATTACACCATGTTGGTAATCGATTACAACCCGACGAAACCTCTTTAAAACAGAAACCCAAACACATTTTAAGGTTAAAAACTTTGAAGGGAGGTGAGAGAAGAGAGCTTTTCCAAGGGCAAGGAGTTTTGATACTCACCTAAGAGCTTGAGAAGAGGTAAAACTCTTGATTCTAACTCTCTTCTTCTCCCTTAAACTCATTTTGGGTATGTTGGATCTCTTCTCCAAATGTGAGAAACCATGGAAACTCATCCTTTGGAGTTATGGTTCGTTTTATGTGTTTTTCTCTTGTAAACTCTTAGTTTAGAGTTAGTATTTCGAGAATGGAAAAGGTTTGTGGGTTGATTCATGAAAACCCCAAAACCCTAAAGGGATAATGTGGTTAAAGTGGAAAATGGGTAAAATGCTAAAGGTAGAAAATGAGTTTACGTTCTAATGTTGAAATATGAGATGAATATGTATGTTTTAGATGGTTGTAAACTTATGATGAAAATAGTTTAGCAACATTGAAAATATGATGAATATCTTGTATGGTTAAATAATGCAATATAAGTTGTTTATGTGATATTTGGAATAAATGACTAACATTGTGTTATATGGTGGGATGAGGAAAGATCCTAAAGTTGGAGGCGGTGTCGGTGGAACTTGAGAAGTTGTCAAGAACCAAACCCAACACTCACCGAGGTAAGGATAAGTCTTTAATTGAGCATTTGGAATCGAAAATGTGAGTTTTCTGATTATGCAATGATTGATACGTAAAGTACGCATTTGATATAAACATACATAGGTGTGTTTACATTAAAGCAGGCGTAGATTTACGGAAAGGAAAGTATGTGGTACTTTCTGATTATGCGATGATTGAGTGTAAATCACGTATTTAGTATAAACATATATGGGTGTGTTTATACTAATGTGGGCGTGGATTTACCGGAAATGATTTATGGTGAAACGAATGAAAAAGAAGTACATTTTTAGCCGACCATGAATGGTTAGCGACTCTGGCTTGAGTATAGAAGCATACACTATGGCTTGAGTATAGAAGCGTAAACTCTGGCTTGAGTATAGAAGCATACACTCTGGCTTGAGTATAGAAGCATACACTCTGGCTTGAGTATAGAAGCATACACTCTGGCTTGAGTAAAGAAGCATGAAAATGATTTATGAGGAGATCGATGAAAGGAAAATATGTTTTAGCCGACCATGAATGGTTAGCGACTCTGGCTTGAGTATAGAAGTGTAAACTCTAGCTTGAGTATATAAGCGTGATTTGTTTTAAGAGAAACGAGATTCTGCTTTTAGCTAATCCTAAGGGGTGTAGCAACTTTGGCTCAAGTTATGCAGCAAGATAAAATGAATTTCGAAAATGGTTTACTAACCCCTTTTTCTAATGTGGATTATCTTATAATGACGTTTATTGAATTAACGACTTACTCCTTTGCGTGTTTGTGTTCTTGTCATTGATAATCCCATTGCAGATAAACAGGTGACATGAGGGGGACTCATTTTTGGGGGAGCTTAGGGAGCTTATATTTTGGAATTTCTTTATTTGCACTATTTTGTATATGAGTGCTTATTGAATTATTTTCGGAATATTTTGTAACTATGGATATATGACTTATACGATTGATTGCAATTCCGCATATATGTAGCCATCGGTATTTTGGAAACCCATAGCTAGTTGTATACGGTAGACGCTAGGGTTTAATGAAATGAAAAATTTTCAAGGGGTGAATTTTGGGTTCTTACACACCAAGGTAAGGGATAAGTGGCTCTAAGTCATACTCACTGATGTGAATGAGGTATGTGAAAGAGGTAACGTGTTGGTAAGTTTATTGTTGTTACCCTACCCGAAGAGGTAGTGGTTTATTGTTGTTACACTACCCGAAGAGGTAGTGGTTTATTGTTGATACCCTACCCGAGGAGGTAGTGGTTTATTGTGTCCTACCCGGAGTGGTAGTGAACTGTTTATTGTGTCCTACCCGGAGTGGTAGTGGAATGTTATCGTGTCCTACCCGGAGTGGTAGCGGACTGTTATTGTGTCCTACCCGGAGTGGTAGTGGACTGTTATTGTTATCCTACTGGGAATAGTAATGAAGTATTGTGAACTAGACCTGCCCGATGTGGTATGGAGAATGACTAGACCTGCCCGATGTGGTATGGATAATAATTAGATCTGCCCGATGTGGTATGGAGAATGACTAGACCTGCCCGATGTGGTATGGATGATAACTAGACCTGCCCGATGTGGTATGGATAATAACTAGACCTGCCCGATGTGGTATGGAGAATAAACTAGACCTGCCCGATGTGGTATGGATGATGAACTAGACCTGCCAGATGTGGTATGGAGATATAATTGGACCTACCCGATGTGGTAGGGGATTATATTTGTGAAAGAACTCGGTGAATACGATTGAGGATGAATGCGACATATGAGAAACGAGGACGTTAAGAGCGAAAGTCATATGCATGCTATAAGATATATATTATGGGATATATATACTATAGGGTGAATATGAATGCTGAAAATGAAGACGTTAAGAATAAAAGTAATATACATGCTATAGGATATATAGTATGGGATATATATACTATAGTGTGGATATGAATAGTGAGAAGAACGATGCTTCGAATGAACGTAATATGCATGTTATAGAATATATATTATGGGATATATATTCTATATGATGAATATGGATAACGTGGAAATGAACGAAAGAAGATAGGAATGTTTGCATTTACGTAATTGTGTTTATAAATTATATTAAAGCTTAATCGTATTTGAAATGTGGATTATCATGTGATGTTAGTTTTTGAACTAATGACTTACTCCCTTTTTGTTTGTGTGTTGTTTATGATAATCCCATTGTAGGTAAATGAAGGATTTTGAGGATGAAGCTCAATTAGGAAGCTTTTGTGTTTATTTACTCGATTGTCTTTATTGCTATTTGACATTGTAGTTGATTTGATAGTATTTTGGGATAAATGTAATCTGATTAGGATAATATGCAAGGAAGGATTAAAATAAACGAAAAAAATTTCAAGGGTAGAAAATCGGGTCGTTACAACATGGTATTGATTCGTCTTCGTGGCATAGACTTGCCCTATGTGGTATTGATTCGCCTTTGTGGCATAGACTTGTCCTATGTGGTATTGATTCGCCTTTGTGGCATAGACTTGCCCTACGTGATATTGATCCTCCCTTGTGGCATAAACTTGTCCCATGTGGTATTGTTTCTTATTAAATGTGGTTGAATAATTGTAGTATGATGGTTTATTTGATTTGATTATCGAATTATGTTAAACTAAGATTGATATATGTTTGCAATATTATTCTATACTGATTTATAAACACTGATTTTCATAAACTTGATGTCTTTCTCCCTTATATTTCTTGTTGGTTGTATTTGTGATGATCGATGTGCAGGTAAATCAAGGAACTCGTAGATCCAGGCGACCTCGTAGTTTAGACTTTTGATTGCTGATGTAATAGCGAAACTAATGTACCATTTTGCGATATGCACCCTTTGTATCTAATAACTTAACTAATTGACATGTATTTTCCATTACTATTGAACAGATGTATTATTGACACGTATGTAAGCATGGAGTCCTCTTTTGAAATCAGAATGCGAAATTATGGGTTATCAACCCCAAAATATTTTGGTAGGTAAATTAGTTATTATGATATTGAAACTTAATCATCTTGTAAATGCTAAGGTTAAAGGAAGTCGTGAGAAAACAGTTCCTAATAATTGCATGTTTTAAAAAATAAACGGACAAAATTTCATGGGTATAATTTAGGTCCTTAAATAGTGTCGTGCCCGATTTTCAGTTGGAAGACCGACTCTGCGAATTAGGGAGAGGCGAACTCAATTTCTACCTCTTCCAATTGATTTGGAGTCGCCACTACGTTTTTTACGGTTAAAACGTAGAAAACTCTAAATATGCCCAATTAGGACAATTTGGTCTTTGAACAGAGATTTTGAGCTCGGGAGTCGATTACGAATCGTGGAAGGTATTAGCAATGCGTCCGCCCGTATTAAAATGGTACCCTAATTAATTGCGTGAATTAAATACCCTTAATTTATTTAAAACTAAATTTGTTTAAAACAAAATATTTATTTTTAATTTTTGTGTGTGACAAGAGTTCATCTTGCTCCTACGTATCCCTAAGTGCATTAGGGAAATCAAGACTATGTAGTTCTAGTTTGAAAATTGTTTGTTGATTTGATTTAAAGTTATTAGAAATTTGTTTGATTAAAAGTTATTAAAATTTTGGTTTGAATTTCTTCGAAGTGAGACTAATAGATGACGAGTCAACATTGATTGTTTACCTTCTTCTCACTTCGATAGATAGCAGAAACAGTACAAGTGACCGCGAACGGTTATAGGCTCGAAGCGAGGAGAAAGTTGCAATACGAGTTGTAACCTCGCTATTGAATCCCAAAAATCATTAAAACATTTTTAGATAATTATTAAAGCATTTTTTAATAACTTAAAGACTTTTTTAAAGAGAAAGTTAGATAGTGAACAGTCGACATTGATCGTTAACCATCTTCTCACTTCGATAAATAGCAGAAGCAGTGCAAGTGACTGCAACCGGTTCTCAGCTCGAAGTGAGAAGTAAGATGCGACACTAATCATAACCTCACTAAAAAAATTCATTAAAAATTCGATGATTTACTTCATAGTTATTATTATTCCCAGCACATAGTTTTTATTACAAATAAATTAATTAAAACATATAAATGCAAAACAAAAAAAAGATTTAAAAATAATAATAACAAAACAAGAAACTAAAAGGGGCAAGTTACCCCCTCCATTTTCGTGAACCAGGGAACAAAATCCCTAGGTGCCATTTTCGCACCTTCGTTTCCAGCGGAAGTGGCAACGGCGTGGCCCCAAGACGTCGTCCCCAACTCGAAGTTTCTCTCAGCAGTGGTTCTATTCAACGGTGATAGCGAAGACGAAGGGAAAGAAATCCCAAATCTCTTCAACGGTGACAGCGGTGGCGATAAGCCACAATGGTGGTTCTTCCGCGAGGAGGTGCTTCGAGTCCGGTGCTTCCGGCGATGATAAGGGTAATCATCTTCTCCCTTATTTCCTTTGTCGTTTTTCTTTTCTTTTTTCTTATGATTGATAGCTGCGAATACACCTTTGCTTTGCTAATCGTGTAATAGTTGTGTGTATACCTTTGCGTTTTGAAGGTTAATCCTCTCTTCTGGTATGTCCTTTACCGCCTTGGTTACCAATAGCTGACTGCTTTCTCCTTTGAACTGCTCGTGTTGATAAGATTTTCTGCTTTTTGGGTTCATTCCATTTTCGGTTCTATATGTATTACGTATTGTGATGATTTCTTGCTAAGGTGTTGTTTGAGTGATCATGTGTGTTTGTGACTTTAGTATTTCGGACTGATGTATACCTCTGATAGCTTGCGTATATATGAATGTGTGTATGAAGCAATAACTGTAGGTAGGAGGGTTGAGAGGATTAAGATAATGGTTAAAGTATTCATGTCTTTGGCTATGGGTTCGAAATAGATTTGATAGCTATGTGGGAAGATCTTGTGAACACATTTATTTTCCGATTGTGTGGTATGTGATAGGTGTGTATGGGTTCTGGTTATTGGATTTTCCTCTTTTTGTATTGTGATGCATTGTTTGGTGAGAGGAAGTGAGAAACTAAGGAAGGCATAGATGATAGAACAGTGTAGTGTGTATAGATAGCCCCCTTGCTTTGGTGTATATGTTGCTGATTTATACTAATTCATGATCCCTTTCCCTATGCCAAAACTCTTGACTTGCCAACTGATCCCTTTGAATGACCATTGATTATTTTTTTTATGAATGCTTATTACTGCTCATGCTGACTTGATTCACATGCCCTTTGATTTTCCTTATTGTTGTTTCCTCTCTTAACTCTCCATTTATAACTGTCCAAACCTGGTGCATTATATTTTGTTTTGCACTCCTTTGAAGATGTTGTCTTTATTCCCTCTTTGTTAGTAACTCACGATTAATATCTTGTTGCTTTCTGCTTCAATTCTTAACCCCTAATTGACCCTTCATTGTGTGATTAAATTGATTGCAGCATGCTCATAATTAATATCATTGATGCTTATTGTGTCTTGAGGTGTAACCTTCAAGTGTGGCCCTTGGCTAGTTTCTCTTTAAATAATATTTCATAACTGTCCCTGAGAGAATACCTGATCTTTGATTCTTCCTTGCAGGAGCTGCTCTTGGAGACATCAGTGCTACTGTTAGGGTCATAAATTATTGGTCACCTTGCAAATTACATCTTCCTTTAACAGTGGCCCCATGAAACCTTATGCTATAAGGACCTTGAATGTTATAACTTAATTTGTCAAAGTGATTGCCTCCTTTTGCTATGTATACGTTTATCCATTTTGCAAGTGTAAATGTTTGTTTACATTGAGTAGTGTGCGAGAGAGATTGTTGATAGGCTTTTCTAGCTAATATACTCATGACCTTGTTTGGTATGACATTTTATTTCCTTGGAGACTTTAAACTTAAGCATCTGTCTAGATCATTGATGTAACCAGAGAATCTAGGTGTAAACCTTCTATGTTCACTTTGTGCTTCAACCATTGGAACAACTTGGCTTACTATGAAGAGCAAAAAAATGTGTCCTTATTTTCATATGATTGTGTCATTTTAGGACCGCCCATTATATTTTTGGAACCAATAACTTATTTGCCAATTTAAAATGAAATTAACAATTAAAATTCGAAATAAAATTGTTGGTAAATAAATTACTGCCATTTACAATTTGAAGATAAAGTTGGTTATGCAACCTCTAAAAATAATATATTTTTGGACCCTTTTTTGTTATTTTGAAATGTTTTGTTTATTTATTTTTAATACTTTTTAAAATAGGCCGGACAAAGTTTGGTTTTCATAGCTGCCCCTCTTTACTTGTTGTTTATGTGACAGCTCATAAACTGATGTTTGAGTGTTGTCATGATAAGCAACTAGTAAAGAAATGAACGCTAATTTTGTTGAGACCCTAAAATCCTTTATGGGGTATGGTACAACAAACTTCTTGTTGGATGTCGTCAGGCACGATGCCCCCAAAATTCGAAATATCTTTCCTAAAAAACGCCAGGCAAGGAGCCTGGAAAGATTGACTTTGAGGTCGTCAAACACGTGACCTTCAAAATTAATTTTTTATAAAAAACACCAAGTATGGAGCCTGAAAAGAATGACTTCGAGGTCGTCAAGCACGGACCCCTCAAAATTAATTTTTATTTTATTTTATAAAAACACCAAGCACGAGACCTGAAAAGAATGACTTTGAGGTCGTCAAGCACGGGGTCCTCAAAGGCATAGATTGAGGTCGTCAAGCACAGGGTTCTCAATCTTATAATTTTGAGGTCGTCAAGCACGGGGCCGTCAAATTTTTTTTTATTATAAAAAAACACCAAGCACGGAGCCTGGAAAGAATAACTTCGAGGTTGTCAAACATGGGGTCCTCGAAGGCATAGACTGAGGTCGTCAAGCACGGGGTCCTCAATCTTATAATTTTGAGGTTGTCAAGCACAGAGCGCTCAAACTTATTTTTTTATAAAAATACCAAGACAGAGCCTGAAAAGAATGACTTCGAGGTCATCAAGCACGGGGTCCTCGAAGGCATAGATTGATGTTGTCAAGCACGAGATCCTCAATTTTATAATTTTTGAGGTCGTCAAGCACGGGCCCCTCAAAATTAATTTTTTTTTTATAAAAAACCAAGCACGGGGCTTGGAAAGAATGACTTCGAGGTCGTCAAACACGGGGTCCTCGAAGGAATTGATTGAGGTCGTCAAGCACGAAGTCATCAATCTTATAATTAAAATCACGTTAGGCCCGAGGTCCTGGAAAGTTAAGATTTCATGTCGAGGTACAGGACCCGAAAAGATTAATTTTCACATTGAGGTACAAGACCCGAAAAGATTAAATTTCACGTCGAGGTACAGGACCCGGAAAGTTTGGATTTCACGTTGAGATACAAGACCCGGAAAGTTTGGATTTCACGTCGAGGTATAGAACCCGAAAACTTTGGATTTCACGTCGAGGTACAGGACCCGGAAAGTTTTGATTTCACGTCGAGGTACAGGACCCGGAAAGATTAAATTTCACGTCGAGGTACATGACCCAGAAAGTTTGGATTTCACGTCGAGGTAAAGGACCCAAAAAGTTTGGATTTCACGTCGAGGTACAGGACCCGTAAAGTTTTGATTTCACGTCGAGGTACAGGACCCGAAAAGTTTGGATTTCACATCGAGGTACAGGACCCGGAAAGTTTGGATTTCACGTCGAGGTACAGGACACAGAAAGTTTTGATTGAGAGTATGTCATGTATGATTTTTTCATGATGTCATGCATGAACAAGTATTGGCTTTTAATTGATGACATGATATGTATGTTCGTGTATAATGAATTACAGTATGCCACAATATTTTGATTAAATGGTGTAAGAACCTTGATCATTTGATGCATTGGTCAAAATGACATTTAGCTTTTGAAAATTGGATTTGAAATTTTTTTCTTCCAAAATTGCTCTTTAACACCCTTAAAACTTTCGGTTTCATTATATTTTTTTGTCCTTGGTTTGTAGAGTTGTTGTTGAGTTGCTTGTTTTTTGAGATCACCTTCGTCATTCGATGAACTGCCACAGTTTGTTGTAGGTGAATCAATTAAATGCCTCATCGTCTAGTTATGTAGCGAAACTTTGGCTCAAGTTTTTTAGCACACTTTGGCTCAAGTTATGTAGCGAAACTTTGGCTCAATTTATGTAGCATACTTTGTCTCAAGTTATGTAGCAAGGTTATATATATGTGAATTATGGTAAATGTCGGTTAAGGTGAAATAATGATTACATGTATTGTAGTAAGGTACGGATGTGGTATATTGATTATGGTAAAGTATGGAAAAGGTATAGTTGTACAAATCGTAATTGTGAGTATCCAATTTTGTCCGACCCAAATAACTTCTCAAATTAGTAAGTAACAATATCAATGTATTTCTACCCCAATTACACAAGTTTAAAAATTGGATTTGTTACAACTTTTGATATATGGTAGAATTAAAGATATCAATTGATGATGCAATAATTTAAACCAATACAATAATTACATTGCAATGATGTAAATCAATCCATTAATTCACACGATAAACATTATGCTAAATTCAAGCAATAAATTATAGCATGAAATAGCTAAGCCGTACATCTTTTGGCTATAAAAAAGCATATTCAATCACTAAAGGAGAAAGCAAAATTTCTCCCTCAATTATACCTAATTATTTTAGTAAGAAGATTCTCCATATTCTGCACATACACCACCTCTTTTGGCTTAAATATAGACCGCATTCTGTGACACCCTAATTTTATTTTCCTAAGTGTAGTGAAAATTCTGGGAAATCTGGGGTATACTGGGTGTTTCTCACTTGAGTGAGAGGGCCTTGCCCAAGCGACAGGCTTAGTATCTGCTCCCAGGATTTCCTGGGATTCTCGCCTGGGCGAGAATGGCTCGCCTGGGCGAGGGAGAGAGGTGTGATACTGAAGGATCCTCGCTTGAGCGAGAATCCCTCGCTTCAGCGTGAGCACCAGATCTGAGTTTTTAAAATAAACGGGATCTTCTCGATTGAGCGAGAATGAGCTCTCTTGAGCGAGAACCCGACGCTGTTACATTAAAAATGGAACCCCAAACACTTTTAGGGTTAGAACTTTGGAGAGAATGGAGAGAAGAGAACATTTTCAAGAGCAAGGATTCTTGGGAATCATCTAGAGGCTTGAAAAGAGGTAAATCTCTTGATTCTAACTCTCCTTCTTCCCTTTGAAACTTGATTTGGGTAAGTGAGATCTCTTCTCTTAACATGAGAAACCATGGAGACTCTCTATTTTGAGTTGTGGTTCGTTTTATGTCGTTTTTCTCTTGTAAACTCTTGGTTTAGAGTTGGAAATCAAAGATAGGGATGATTCGTGGGTTGATTCATGAAAACCCCAAAACCCCCAAAATGAGAATATGAATAAAGAGGGAAATGGGTGAAATGTTAGATGTAGAAGATGAGTATATGTTCCAATGTTGAATATAAGATGAATATGTATGTTTTTGATGTTTGGAAACTCTTAATGAAGGTAGTTTTGGAAACATTGAAAATGTGTGAATCTCTTGTATGGTTAAAGATGAAATATGAGTTGTTTATGTGTTATTTTGAATAAATGACTAACATTGTTGTTATGTGGTGGGAATGAGGAATGTAACACCCTAAATTTCAAGTCATTAAATTATAGTTCCAGCTCTAGGATTCTCGCTTGAGCGAGAGAATTGTCGCCCGGGCGAGAGAGGCTCACCTAGGAGGGTGAAATCCTAGGCTATACTGGAGGATTCTCGCTTGGGCGAGAATTGTCTCGCCTGAGCGAGAGTGGTCTCGCCTGAGCGAGAGTTGTCTTGCCTGGGCGAGAAATGTGGCAATCAGGACCTGTCAAGGCTGTGAGATTCTCGCCTAAGCGAGAGGATTCTCGCTTGAGTGAGATATGAGCGAGAATGGGCTCGCTTGAGCGAGAACCCGACGATTTCACTTCGAAATAAAAACCCCAAACACATTTTAGGGTTAAAAATTGAGAGAGAAGAGAGGAGAAGGCGATTTTGGAGAGCAAGGACTCGTGGGAATCACCTAGAAGCTTGAGAAGAGGTAAATCTCTTGACTCTAACTCTCCTTCTCCCTTTCAAACTCGTTTTTGGGTGTAGGGATCTATTCTCAAAGTATGAGAAACCATGGAAACTCTCCCTTTAGAGTTATGGTTCGTGTTAGGTTGTTTTTCTCTCGTAAACTCTTGGTTTAGAGTTGGTATTTAATGAATGGAAATGTTTTGCTGGTTTATCCATGAAAACCCCAAAAACCCCCAAAAATGAGAATATGAGTAAAAGGGAAATGAGTGAAATGTTGGATGTAGAAGATGAGTTTGTGCTTTAATGTTGATATATGAGATGAATATGTATGTTTTAGATGTTTGGAAACTCTTAATGAAAGTAGTTTAGAAACATTGAAAATGTATAAATATCTTGTATGTTTAAAAGATGAAACATGAGTTCTTTATGTGATATTTGGTATAAAGTACTGACTTTTGTTGTTATTTGGTGTGGATGAGGAAAGATCCTAAGGTTGGATGTAATCGCGGAGGAAACTTGTAAAGTTACTCGGAAAAGACCCCAACGTTCACCAAGGTAAGGATAAGTCTTTAATTATACTTTGTAATGGAAAATGTGTGTATTTTTTTGGTTGTGAAAGTGGTTAAGATGCAAGTCGCTTATTATAAATATATATGGGTATGTTCGTAATAAAGGATGTGTGGAATTTCTGTTTATAAATCTATTGAATCACCTTCGTGGTGTAGACTTACCCGACGTGGTATGAAATCACCTTCGTGCTGTCGACTTACCCAACGTGGTATAAAATCACCTTCGTGGTGTAGACTTACCCAACGTGGTATGGAAATCACCTTCATGGTGTAGACTTACCCAACGTGGTGTGAAATCACCTTCGTGGTGTAGACTTACCCAACATGGTATGGAAATCACCTTCGTGGTGTAGACTTACTCGTGGTATGGAAATCACCTTCGTGGTGTAGACTTACCCAACGTGGTATGAAA